TTCGTATGAAGGAGTTATGATTTTCGCATTGACTTTAACAATCCAATCTTTATAAAAATATGAATTTAAAATAGAGTGAGAATTATTTGTTGAGGCCTAAAGGAAATTTGTAGTGCTCGTTGAGAGGATTCCGGGGATATAAAAAAACGTCGAAAATAGAGTTCGTATGCGAAAATTATGTTCATTCAAAGATCTAAAAAAATATTTGTTAGCAGTGTCCTACTTTGCCAACTGTATGCCTATAGATTGAATTACAGAATTGCTAATCCAGGTGATAATCTTGGAGTTATCAGTGTCCCATGATTCCAATAAGCTTGCATAATTTGTAGCCTTTTCATCTGCTGGTTTGCACCTTTTACCTTCAACAATTCTCTACATGTTCTTCCGCCGCAAAAAAATCTTCATAACATAACTCTAGTAGGCATAGTTCTTGCCATCAAGTTGGGTACTAATAGACTGAAGAGAGTCATCTTTTGGAGCCATGTTCACAATAATAAACAGAAAAGTTTATTGAAATCTGCACTCCGAACAAAAATCGGCGAGATATCGATGAGACAAACATAAACCCTCCAACAATCTTCAAAACGCGACACAAGTATAAAATCGTTGCAAGATATTGACGAAACAAACAGAACCCCTCAAACAATCCTCAAATCACGGTGGCGGTACCCAAATCACAGAATGCTACAACTTTACGTACAACTCGCTTCCAACAATCATAAACGACGGACCGAATAGGCTCTGATACCATGTAAACTAGTGAACATGATACTACTAGGGTTTCATTATTGAATTAAAAAAAGAGTACAATTACAATGAAAGTAAAAGACAAATTATATAGGAAAGCTAATAGGTTAAAGTTTTTGCATTCCATGATTTGGGTATCGCCACCGCGATTTGAGGATTGTTCGAGGGTTTCTGTTTGTTTCGCTAATATCTAGCAATGATTTTAAACTTGCGTCGCGTTTTGAAGATGTTGGAGGGTTTCTATTTGTTTCATCGATATATCGCCTTTTTGTTCGGAGTGCAGATTTCAATAAACTCTGTTTATTATTGTCAACATGGCTCCAAAAGATGACTCTCTTCAGTCCATTAGTACCCAACTTGTCTAAATGACGGACCGAATACGGCTGTGATACCATGTAAACTAATGAACATAATACTGCTAGGGTTTCATTATTGAATTAAAAAAGAGTACAATTACAATGAAAGCAAAAGACAAATTATATATGAAAACTAATAGGTTAAACCTAACTATAGGGCTAAAGGGCCAAACAGGCCCCAAATGAGAAAAGGGCCTAATAACTTTATTATGCTAACAAAACTGAAGAATAACAATGTTTTTAAAAACCAGTTCGAACCAGTTGGATGGAGAACCGGGTAAGTGAGCGGCTCAACTACACCAGTTTTATATCTATTTTTGGGCTGGAATGAACCGACCGATTTTTACAAAAAACCGGTTCAACCTATTAAATTGAATAAGAACAAATGGAAATGAAGTAACACACTTTGTGTTCTTTTCATATATGTTTAGACTTCTTTTAAATAAATAAAAAAAACACATGATAAATGTTATGAAATGTGTGTATTCATCTAAAAGTATATTTTATTTCGGTATTTATATATATATATATATATATATATATATATATATATATATATTTGATATATGTGCATTGATGTAAAACTTATGGTTATATGTTTTTTCAATATATTTTGAGTGATCTACAAGTTATTCTATGTGTATTTTTAATATTTGAACTTATTTTTATGCGTATTTTCAATATTTGAACTTGTGTATTTGTTTGTACACAAAAATATATAAAAAAAATGAAAATCTAGAAACCCGGTTGAATTGACGGTCAAACCGGTTAAACTGAAAACCGGTCATCCAATTCAATAAAAAAAAGTGGTTTTTAAAACATTTGATAAACAGTATTTCGATTAACAACAACTTCGATGAACAATATCCTCGCGTGATTGATCTAGAATCGACATTAATTTGATACGACTCAAAGTGATGCTCATATTAATAAATGAAAATAGAAGAACCAATAGCTGCCTGTATGTATTTTTTTCTACCCACCCTACCATCAGCCAGGCCCCTATATTTATTGAAACACTTGCCAAGTAATCGACTCATAATCAAACACACTATTTTTTATATAAGTAACTAATAAAATAAAATAAAATAAATATATATAACTAATTATACTTTATTTTAACTACTGAAAATTAACCCGAAGACCCTGCACTTGTCCCTTCGTTTATGGACTCGATATGCTTCAATAAATGAAGAATTTGACTACAAAAAAATGTAATGGAATAACTTGATCTTTGAGACCACATGGTATGGGCCATAACGAGAACGGGAGATGCTGACCTGGATGCCCATAACGCCGTCTTAATGGGGGGAACACCGCCCCCCTAACTCGTTGCATCTCGTCGTGGCGAGTCTCGTGGGCGTTACGACGAATTGAAACGGCATGATTTTATACCGTCGGCTTTAATGACCGTTGCTGTTGCATCTTGTTGCATCATGTTGCCCATTTCCCTACTTGGTGTTATAACACCATTTGCTTATGTGGCATGGGAGGTGACACAACTTAGTGTTGCATCTTGTTGCCCACACCCAATGCTCTGATAAAATTCGATAACAAAGGTTGTAGTCTCGAGTTCAACACATGGAGCCCATCAGGAGAAAAAGTGAACGAGAAACTAAGGAAAGACGTGGAAAAAAATGAAAGAAAACAAAACTCTCATTTCCTTTTTTTTTTTAATTGTCAGAATAACTCACAATAACATATTCTAGTTTTCTTTTATTTCCTTCCAGTTTGAAAATATGAAAAAGAAGTTTAAATCGTTGCTTTTTCCAGCATGTAAACACAAAAAATACACAAAAAGAAATTTAAATTGTTGCTTTTCTTTTTCCAGCGTGTAAACACAAAAAAATACATTATCTTTTAAAACTCTTTTCACTTTTTCAGACAAGATTGACATGGAAATGTTCCAAAATTTAGCCAAATAAGTAATAAATGAATAAATAAATAAATACATACATAAATAAATAAAAATAATAATAATAATAAACTACAGCAATAGTCCATATAGTAAAATTCATAGTGTAGTCCAACCTTCGACAAAATAGATCATATCCATGTGGTTTTCAAATCTTTGGATTTTGTTTTTGGTCCATAAAAAAAGACTATTATTTTTTTTTGAATTTTTTTATTTTATTATCCGAGTAAATAAACACTGTAATTCTATTATGTTGGACCCATTCCATTCCATCCTACTATTTCTCTTATTTTTTACTCTTATTTTTCACTGTAATTACCTTTTGTCAATTTAAAACAAGAATTTAGAGTTGCAAAATGAATATTTTCCGAGGGTGAAAGTAATATGACTATGTAGCCATCGCCACCATAAGTACCCTCGTGAAATGATTGTAGATGTTTTTTAAAATGTCTTCTCAAAATTTGACACGATAATTATTTATGAGCTAAATGGAGCACTTCCATAATAGAAATTCTATGACGCATTATATTCTACATAGACATCATAATTGGATGTTATCGTATGTTGAAATTAGCTTTCCTCAATCGCGGAGGAAATAAGATATGTTTATGAATATGGACAAATTCTCTTTTCATCTCGTATCTATCATGGTACTTTTAAAACAAATGTTATCAAAACAGTATAAAACAATTTTATTTGTTACAAAAATCAAATAGAGATGAAATCAAGAAATATAAACATAAAACTTACTAAACGAAATTTACAGATTATGAACAGATAGAGGCTTGCAGAAGCAATGTCCTAAAGCAGAAATTGGTCCCCATTCATGCAATAGTTTCTGGACTTCTGAATTTAAGATACAAGTATCTTAAATTAAGTTCTTGCACGATAACTTAATTCATGGTGAATCTACTATATGTATTCATGGAATTTGAGAGAGAGTTTTTATGTATTTGTGGTGTATGTTCATCCAAGAGATCTAAAAAATCAGATCCGATTTCTTTAAATAAGATTGACATGAAACTGTCAAAATACAGTTTTGATAACTTCTCAAAATTTAGCCTTATCTGATTAAAGTCGGAATTAATTAAAAAAAATAATAATACTAATTTCAGATAATCTCTTAAAACCCCAATGCACAAGGCCATCTTTTGACTATTAATATATATAATTAATCACTAGTAGTACACTAGTTATTCAAAGCCCACAAAGTCACACTAGCTCACTTGATGCTCTTAGTCCCTTAGTAACAAGAATAAAGGAACAAGTCTTTGAAACATACGAAAGTTTGATGTTCCTTCCTATGTGGGATAAGTAACTTTGACAAAATTATACAAACACCAACATGTACCTCGGGTTTTTGACAAAATTGTTAATATCGAGATCTTATATAAGATCATTTTCTACTTTTGTAAAATCATGATGGTAAAATCAAATCGAGATCGTAAGATCATACCAAAAACATTTTAAAACATCAAAAAAAAAAATTATCGCTCAGTTAACAATAAATAATTTAAAACATGAAAAATACATCTCTAATACGCCATTTAATAATAAAAATTCAAAAGAGGTTTTCTAGGGTTTATATTCGATGTACTAGTAAGTCCAATGATAAAATATTAGGTTTATTAGGGTTTATATTAGATGTAATTGTTATTGTAGATTAGACGGACCAAATAAACAAGTGAAAATTCATCCTATACCCTCAATAAAAACCAAAATAATTTAACAACAATTTAAACCAAAAAGTCCAAAGTTCGATGGACTAAAATATCATTTTTTTCAATAAAAATATATAAAAACTTATAAAAGAAATAAACAAACACAAAGTTAGAAACAATCTATCAATTTTTCAGAAATTAGACCAAACAATAAATCCGACTAAAACTTAAATCAATAATAATTAATAAAAAGTGAGAATAATCAAGAAAGTTCTTTAATTTCCTTTCTTTACTTTTTACCTTTACCAATCCCAATTTCCATCAATGCAAAAACCTTTTTCCTCTATATATTCTACCCACCTTCATCACTCCACCTTACACAACTACCCTCTTCAATTCAACAAATCATGAATGAACCAAAATATGCTTATCCTTACCCTGCTCAAGGTACGAATCTACTTCACATTTCTCAATCCTTTATTCATCTCACTTCCAATTCACAAAACAATTAACAATCATCTTCAACAGGAGGAGGCTATTATCAAGGACCTCCGGTGATGGCGCCGCCGCAATACGCCGCACCTCCTCCTCCCCGACGAGAACCTGGTTTTCTTGAAGGCTGGTATGTATTCAGTATTCCCCCTGTTTTGAAAAAAAAAAATCTCCTATTTTCATCCATATTTTTATGGATTTGATGATTTGGTTGATTATTATTATCCATTCGTATGTGGGTTTTAATTGGAATTTTGTTTTGATTTGTAGTCTAGCGGCTTTGTGTTGCTGTTGTCTTCTTGATGAGTGTTGCTGTGATCCAACTATCATCTTCTTCTGATCGCTTTACTTGTTGCCATGAATAGAAGAAAAATATGAATTTTATGTTTTTTTTTTTTAGATTTTGATTTTAATGTATTTATTTACTTATTTATGGTGTTCTAAGTGCTAACAAATCCATGTACTACCACTTTCTGTTTGTGTCAATAAATTAAAAATTTGTAATGTTGAATTGAATTATTATTCATAGTTTTTAAACAATTTATTTGTTGATAAGATGTTTTGGTTTTGAAAAAAAAATAATCGAAATATCATAATTGAATTTAGGTTTGATAAAATACTAACTACTTGGTATTATGAATTAATGTGTACATCAAAGTGGAGTTGAACAAAAAGAATGGACTACAATGAAAATGATTATTTTGGAACGTGAATGAGTAAAAGTATGGATTTGTGTGTTATTCTTTTTGTAGTGAGGTTTTCCGTTTTTGTTTGAAAGTTTCGCTTTATTTTTCAAAATTTTAGGTTATTTCATTTTATCTTTTTAGTTTGTAATGATGATATCCAATCATATATTTAGGGAGGAATTTGTAGTTTTTGATAAATTTATATAATGAAATAGATTTCTTGAGTTCTTGTTGGTAGTTGGTTTTGAATTTTATCGATTTATACATTCAACTTGATAAAATAATGTATACATTCGTAAAAAAAATTCGAACAAATGAATGGTGACTAGGGATGAGCGTGTAGCACCATTTCACGATACCATTGAAGAAACCGAAAATACAATTTTAGTACCAAATATACAATATCTTTGATACAAATTTGTACTTTTTGATAAATTTATATAATAAAATTGATTTCTTGAGTTCTTATGTGGAAGGAATGAGATGCACGTATGCACTTATAATTGTTAACATGTGATGGGAAGAAACACGTAAAAGCACCTGTCTCAAAAACCACTTCCACAAGTTCCGATTATTGAAACACTTGTATGCTTTTATATAAAACACACATGATTCAAGTGGTTAAATGTTAAATACACGGTATTTTTATTTATTTATTTACTTATTGTTATTATTTATTTATTTTGTATTTACGATTTATCTAACTATCCCTACCAAATTTGAAATCATGTCCTATCCCATGGATAACTATGACCTACATACATAATATACAACTAACCTCAAACACACATTATACATAAAATTACGAGGTTTCCCACGCTTCGCAACAGACGAGAGTGATGTATATAAAGTGCCTTTAGATTTCATGTTTTAGCATCCAAAGTCGAAATAACACGTACAATTTTAACATTTTCCCTGATTAGCAATATTCTTTGGAGCCAAGGGCGGATTTAGTGATGGTCCAGGTTAGCACCGACAACCCCTGACTTTTCCGGGCGCAGTGGAAAAATTTTCGAATTTTTTCAAAATTTTTATTTTTTCTACTATCGTGCAACCCCTCACTTTCCTGTGCAACCCCTACTGTGAAATCCTGCGTCCTCCCCTGTTTGGAGCATTGTGTTGTAGAGCTAGAACGACAAAAGCTTGTTTGGTGTTCAATGTAAATAGTGACAATAGGCTTGTAGAAATATCTAGTGTAATCCCAACCTGCATAAATGGAAGACCACAATAAAAATAAATAGATTAAAATTTTTTTAAAGCATTAAAGTAAGGGAGCACATATAAGTTGAAGATTATGATAAAAATAAATACATTTGCTTTACATATAATAACAACTTACTTTCGATTTTTAACTCATAATAGCAACATATTTATGTTTTTTTTACATATAATGGCATTATGATACAAATAAAGTACAATGCCCATATTGGAAAGATAATGTAAGTATGTTACTTTTATGAGTAAAAAAATACAGTATGTTGCTATTCTCTACAATATGAACATTACCTAATTACCATTTCCGCATAAATTTGCAATTGCTCTTGCTACGATTCTGAGAGTTTAGGGATCATTTGTTTTTGACGATGTATGTGCTAGTAAAGCAACACCTTCTTTACCCATAATTAATCATTCATTCAGTTTTACCAAAAACAAAAGTTGATCTCTCTTCATAGTATATATATATATATATATATATATATATATATATATATATATATATATATATATATATGAGTAAACTGCAAATTTGGTGGCTGTGTTTAGCAAAAAAATGTGGATAAAGTCCAAAAAGTTTCAATTTGGACCACTGGTTCAAAATCACAAACTTTTGGCGGATTTGGTCTCTGAAAAACTTAAAATGACTATTTTACCCTTCCAATTTATATTTTCTATTTGTTTTGATTTATTTCAATAATTTAGTAATTGAAAAAAAACAAAAAGAAAATACGTACCCTCCCACCCTACCTCATAGACATATAACCCCACCCTCATCTCTTACTGATTTAATTCACATCCATATACATTTCCAGGGATGAACACAATGAAGTTCTGGGAATACTAGATAAAGATTTAACACACATTAGAGCACTTAACCTCTTTTACTCTATCTCGTGATAAGCTGTGAGATGAACTAGATGAATATTTGATACACATATTGTAGATCTATCTAGGCATAAACCTGTTAGATGAACCAGATGGAGAACACTTCAATGGCATATCAGTGGCCGGATACTGCTATGGTTCCGACGAATTCGACACATGAATTTTCTAGGGCTCCATTGCCCAAATACTTCTAAGGCGATAGGGTTTTCACAGTCGAATCTAGGTTTTCATTCGGTGACCCTCCAAGATCGAGATTTACGATTTTTAGATGGTCCGATGGTATCGATTTTTGGGTTCATCAATATGTAAAAATGACAGAGGTCTGATTTTCAAACACTTGTTCATCACCTAGATGGCCTCTTATTTACTCCTTGTCCTCTACAAACGCAAATGGTCTCGTCTTTTGACATGTCTTCTTCCTTATTGTCTTCTTCGCTTCTCACTCTACAACTACATTCTCAAGTCTCTGTTCACAGATCCTGGCAACAGGTGGGAGGCGTTTTTCTGGTGGAGGATAGGTGGATCTACGGTGGAGATGGAGTGTGGTGCTTGTGGTGAAATTAGGATGAGGAGATGGTAAATTTAGATGGATCCGGGTTTTTTTTGGGACGAGGAAGAAAGAGAAAGACTGGGAAAAGGGAAGAGGCCAAGAGGGTAAACGGGGAGGGGTGGATATTATTAGTGATTTTCTATTTAAGAAGGAATTAAAATAAATATAAAAAATCTAAAAAAGAAATTAAAATGGTAAAATAGTCATTTCAAATTGTTCAGGGACCAAATCCGCAGAAAGATTGTGATTTTTGGACCAAATCCGCATAAAGTTAGTGATTTTCTATTTAAAAAGGAATTAAAATAAATATAAAAAATCTAAAAAAGAAATTAAAACGGTAAAATAGTTATTTCAAATTGTTCAGGGACCAAATCCGCAGAAAGTTTGTGATTTTGGACCAATAGTGCAAGTTGGAAACTTATTGGATTCCATCCACATTTTTTTGCTAATCTCATTGTTGATCTCAGGAACCAAATTCTGCTAATCTCAGGAACCAAATTCGCAGTTTACTATATATATATATATATATATATATATAGGAGTAGGATCAAATGAGAACACCTAAAAGGTTGAGAACGCGAGAACAGATCTCATCCATCTATTATCTTAGATCTAAGGCTATAATTAATTAGAAATTTTGTTATTATTAAAATGTTTAAATTCAATTAAATTGAATTAAAAATAAGAAAAGGGTATCATGGTAATTAATCATTCCCTTATTTTAAACAACTCCTAAAATCTCTCAATCTCTCTATAAACCTATGACTTCATCATTCACTCCACTATTTTCGACTTCATCTTTCTCTCTATACCTAGGGCACGCCTCCCTCACCTGTACATCGGTCTCAATCGCTCCATCTAAATCAGAACCTCATGGTGGTTATTCTTGGCAGCGAATGAAGAAGAAGAAAGGGAAAGAAGGGGGCTCGGTGGTGGCAGATTAATCGCAAAGAGGAGGGGGAAAAAGGACCACCGGTTATGCTGGTTTGTTGCTGCGAATTTATCATGGTTCAATTTTGTTTGAAATTTGACTCTTGAAGATTAGTCTACGGATTCTTGATGCCTGTAACAGCCATCTAAATTATCCATACAACAGAGCTCGGCCCATATTACTACTTACTCTCGATTGCCAAACCCTATATCAGGATCTTCACTCCCCAGAACCTGTTGTCGTCCCCAAATCCTAGCCACCGAGTGTGTGCGAGAGAGAGAGACAGAGAGGTAAGAGAGAACCAGAAATCAGGCGTGTGATTAGGGCACAACGTAAGGGAGTAGGGTCGTTCTTTAAGCCCCATACCCACCACCGGAAGGGGCCTGCTAGGTTCCGCAGCCTCGACTTTGGAGAACACAATGGTTACCTCAAGGGTGTAATCATCGAAATCATCCACGATCCCGACCGTGGTGCTCCTCTGGCTCGCGTCACATTCTGTCATCCTTTCCTCTACAAGCGTTCGAGGTGAGGGGGAAAAGCCAAGAGTCTGCTGCCTCTTTTGATTTCCCCAGGGTTAAATTTGACTTGAGGCTTTTTTTTGCTGACTGGTTGAGTTATTCTTCTGATTCTTCTGATCTTATTTGTGACACTGTCTAAGTTAGCAATGGGTTTTGTCATGTGCCTCATGGGATCGGCAGCTATGATATTTATTTATGATTAGAGTGGTATTCATTATGATTGGATTTGTATTCAAATGTGATTAATGATATATATTCATTTATGAATAATTAATTATTTTTATTATAATTTTTGTTTATGTTGTATTCAAATGTGATTATAGAAAAATAGATATGTATTACATTGTAACTTGTTGTGTTATTATTTATGAATAGATGTGTAATCTAGATATAAATATCCAATATTTTTATTTATTTATGATTATAATTGTATTGTAGTTTTTCTCTATAAATTGTGTTATATTCGTTTATTATTATAATTTAATTCATCTATTCATTCACGATTACAACAGATTCATATATAACTATAAATATGTTTTTATTTTTGTATGATTACACATATTCGGTTGAAATGATTAATCTTTTTGATATATTGGTAAAAAATAAAAAATAAAAAACATTTTTTAATCATGGTAAAAACGTTTTTTTAATAATCTGATTGTTTAAAAATAGACATGAAATTGGAGAAAAAAAACATTTTTTAAGAAAAAAAAATTAAATTTTTTAGTTTTAATTTTTTTTTTGATAAAA